TTTATCAAGCAGAATTCAGTCCCCTCCATCCTATCCATTTAACAGTCTTCCGTAACAGTGAATTAAGGTATATGAAATACACACCTTATCAAGAAAGCTGACAGGTACAATATTTAGGTCAAAAGTGGAAAAATACTTTTTTGTTTTACTTAGTGTTGTCTTTTCTCCCCAGCTTAATGGTTGCATAATTAATATACAACCACAGGAACAATGAGAATGTAACTCTCCCTACTCTTGTGTAAGTGGATGAATCACAAAGGTATCTCTTCTTCTAGCTCCTTTGTTCTAGACTGAGGAAGAGCCAGTTCCACCAGGAGAGATACTGTGGGTTTCTACACCCTTCTTCACAGTTGTACAGCTCAAAGTAACTTAAGTATAAGAGATACAAATCTGAATCCTTCTGGACTAAGCTAAGTGCTTAAAACCTTCATCTTTCAGTTATTCAGGAATCACATAACATCCCTACTGGACAAATATAGGCATTATCTCTTCCAGGATTACACAGAATACTTGGGCATGTCCCTGTTGAACACTACCTCATCTGCTTATTACTTTGAATGACACCCTACTATAGCTTTTGCTTGAAAAGTTACCTGTCAGTTTGCCTTAATGTCAAGGGAAATATGTTTTTGTTGTCAAACACAACACAGAATTTTCATGTAATTGGTCCTTGAGATTTTGGCTCTAGAGCTTATTCTGTTAAGGCATTCATCACTTTGCAGAGATAAATGTGTTTCAGATGTTCATCTGTTTTTGGGCTTGTTTGATTATGGTAGCAATACTCTTGTACACCAAGAATGATTCGATACTGTATCACACACACACAATATATTTTTTTCAAGCAACTGTAATGGGTGAGTGAAGAATGGCTTCTTTACCTAAAGAAGTGTAGTACAGCACATTGGTACCTTCCTGCTGCAGACAGCATCACAGAAGGCTGGTGACATCCAACAGCCTATGCCTATGATTTGGTGCTCAACAGAGACACTGGAAGTGATAGCCAACACTTTTGAAAGAGCATGCTTCCCAGTAGTCATTAGCCTTTGCCTCTATTTCCAGAGGTGTTATCAGCTATGAACATTATAGCAGTAATTGAATTTGCTTTTTATGATCATCGCGGGCCTTTACTGTAATACATAGAGGCTGCTGCTGGCATTATCATAATTCTTCTAACTTTGAGATTAGATTAATGCAATAAAACTTCACCTTAAAAGAGAAACTGTTGGAGAATACTACTGCTTCCATGATACCGGAAGGGCTACCTAGATAAAAACACAGCTAAAGATAAGGAATTCTGCTTGTGTCTAGATAGAACTTAAGACATTGGGTAATTACCTAAAGACCCTTACAAGACCACAGGACCTGGGTATCTTAAAACAGACTAAGCAACCTCTATCTCTCTACCCCCTTCCCTGATATCAACACCATACCACCTCTCCCCCATATCCACAGAAACTGTTTACCCAGCCCTGTGCCATGCTCTCCCTCCAGCCTTCTTCCCCCATAGGAAAGCTGTAAAATTAAGACAGTGCAAAATTTTTTCTACTGTCTTAATAGATCAGGCTGTAGCCATGTCAGTCTTGATGGGAGCTATGCCTTCTCACAGGTCTTTAATCTGAATCAATTCAACTTTATTCTCCTAGGAACTCTTAAAACACCCTGTTTTTATAATGTGGGAGTGTAGGAAGCTAAAGGGAAAGAGCAGAACATGAGGTATGCTGAGAGGGGCTTTCAGGTAGCTTTTTTGGTTTTTACTGCACACTTGCTAAAGAGAGTTACCATGCTGATTTGCCTGTTTGAAACCAATGATGAGCTTTTTGCATTTTCCAAGGGCTTTTTTTCTAAAGACTTAAATTCAGAGTTTTGAAGTATTTATGGAAAAAATCAAGGATGAGAACTTTCTGTCATTTATGCCTCGTTAAATGGGCAGCTTCATCCTGTAGCTTTGCCTCAATTTCTGTACTGTTCTGACTGAGAAAATAATTCAGATTAACAACTGAGCAAACTAGAGCTTGAATTTGGCATTGCACTAGCATGATTCCACAAGTGTTGGTATGCACCATCTCATTCTCCACTAAATAAGCACAAAATACCTTAGGACAAACTATATTGTTCCTATTAGTAGGTTACTGGTGTTACTGCACAACAACCTGTGCTGGTATTCCTTACCTTGTATCGTCTGCTTATATTTGAGCACTGGAAACTCTGTATGTGCAGGAAACAATAATGTAGTGGTATGGGAACAGCTGCACCAAATCTGCTGAAAAAAAAGTCTCCACATGCCATTTTTACTGTGAGAATCATCAGTCCATAACAATTATTCTAACATCATCTACATTCATCTAATTTTAACAGGAAAGCTTGCTGTTCAGCAGATGCTCTTAATCAAATGGAAGGATTCGACAGCACAGTTTCTCAGGGTTAAAAAGAGCCTTCACTCACCAGTTAAAAATTAGCAAGCAAAGGGCTACAGAAATGCATCATTGTCCAGAACTGCTCTACAAGAAGCAAAAGGATGGGAATTTTGTAAGCACGTAAAGTTGTACTTTAGCTTGTCACAATCTTAAAACAAGGCTGGAATAGAGCAAACACCATCATGTTACTAAATAAAAACTGCACTGTTTTGTCATCCATAACCATACTGCGGTGTGCTGTGGGCATGCTATTGATGAACCAGGAATCTATATTTAAAATAATGGTTTGTAACACTGCTATTCTTCGGTAACAAAGGTAATCTCTTCCTGCTGAATATACAGTTTTTTAAGGATAGAAGCAGTAAGACTGACTTACCTTACATAATCCATTAATTTCTACTAATGTAAACAAAACCCTGAAATGAAATAAAAACTCCAGCATCCAAATAATGAGTTCCATCTACCTGTTTAAAGGGGGATTATACAATAAATTATACAATGACACATAATAATCCAAGGCATTTCTACTGTTATGAGAAGCACACGTTCTCTACATTTTTGTGAATGCACATCTTTCAGGAAAAGCAGAGTTAAGGCTGCCTGACAATACGCAATGACACCGTACACCTGTCAAGATGACGTGTCCCTGTTTCTTTTCAGTTTAGGAAGCATTGTTCTTTGCCATTAACCTAACATTGAAAGTATCTTCAAATACTGTGCAGTATGTATTGAAATGAATTTGAAATTTTTACAGAACTTCACTCACTAGCTAGACTTTATACCTAGTCCTATGAAATACGACTGTTTTCACCGAGCTACGTGGAGGATGCAGGGATTTTTATCCAGCTTTGTAACAAAAGCTCTCCCAAGCCACCGCGAACTGCCTCAAAGCTTCCTGACAGCCTCTTAAGTGCGAAACACCAAGTAAGTAGCACCGAGTAGCTGCGTGGGGAAGGAGCAATACGTACAAGCAACCGCGTCGCGCTGCTTTGCCTCTGCGGCTACAGTGGATGGAGCACATTAATTTTGGTTCTGGCTGCCGGACACCGCTGCTCCCGTCACGTCTCCCATCCAAACCCGTCAAGCAAGCCACGGCTGATGCCAAAACGCAGCGCTGCCCTACAAGCAACAAGGGCGACGCGCGGCCTTGCCCGGCAGGCTCGGGCGGAAAGGAGCTCAGCGGGCCGGGATCCGGTCCGGGATGCCGGCCGGGACAGGCGCTGCGCAGCCGGAGGGAAGGGCCGGTCGTGCCCGCCCGGGGCAGCAGCACCAGCGCGGACGGACCCCGACCCTCTCCGCGCCCCGCGGGGCCCGCCCGCAGCCACCCGCCGCTCCTGGGGCCCCGCAGCCGGGGAGAGCGGCTCCCGGCAGCCCCGCTTCTCCCTCCTCGCCCCTCCCCCGCGGAGCCGGTCAGCGGCTGGCTGCCGGGACACACCAGCTGCTTTCCCCGCTGTTCCGCGCTCCCCGCCCGGCTCCGGGACCGACCGGGAACCGCTCCTCGCGCCGCCCACCGCCCGCGCGCGCAAGCGCGGCCGCAGCCCCCGCGCACACCTGCCCCCTCCCCCTCGCCGCCACCGCCACGCGACACCGGGGCCGCGCGGAGCGGCGGGAGCGCGCGCGCCCCGGCGGGGCTCTCCCCGCCCCCGGGGCCAGAGCGCACGTGACGCGTCCCCGCCCCGGAGGTGCCGCGACGCGACTTTGTTTGGGAGAGTTCCGTGCGCGCGCGCGTGTTTCCGCACGGCGGGGCCGGGCGGGAGCCGCACGGGAAGCCGGCTGTCCCCCCGCCGCCGCCGCCTCGGGCCCCCGGAGCGGAAGGGAGGGAAGGAGGGAGGGAGGGACGCACAGCTGTGGCTCCGCCAAGCGGCGCTGCCGCCGCCGCCGCCGGGCAGCGGCCGCCCCGCCCCTGGTCCCGCCCCCGGCGTGTCCCACCCCCGCGGGCCCTGCCCCCTCCACTCCTGCCGCCGCCGCCGCTGCTGCCAGCGCAGCCTGAACTGAAGCGAACTCCGGAGCGAACTGAGGAGAAGTGAGGAGGCGGCGGCGGGGCTGAGACTCGGCAGCCACAGGCGGCGGCGGCGGCAGCAGCAGCAGCAGCGGCGGCGGGAGGGCGGGCGGGCGGGAGGCGGAGAGGAGGAGGAGGAGGACACACGCCAGGCGCAGCGCGGCGGCAACAACAGCAGCAGCGGCGGCAACAGCGGGGAGACACCGGCGGCGGCTCCTCGGAAGCGGCAGCCGCGCCAACAGCGCCCGCCCGCCCCGCGCGTCCCCTCCCTCCCTCCCCCGCCGCGGAGACAGGGGGCAGCGCCGAGAGGAGAACCGGGCTCAGCGTGTGTGTGCGCGGGAGGAGGAGGAGGAGGAGGAGGGGGGACACACCGAGGACTGCGCCGGCCGAGGGCGCACGGAGCAGGGAAGCGGCGGCGGCACCGAGAGGCGGCGGCGGGTCCTTGTGGCCGGAGAGGAGGGCGCAGCCCGCACGGGGGTTTCTACCGAGGTTCCTCTTTTTTTTTTTTTTTTTTTTTTT